CAGTTACTACCAGCATTAGACACTTTGACTCAACAAAGCAGAACGTCTATGGTTTTATGTTGTGATGCACAACTATGGCTTCAAATCATACCGACTACTATAAAGTACCTAAAAAGGGGAATTTCACATCAGTCTGTGCATTCGGGAGCTGAATCATCAGCAGCTGGACCCTAGGAGTGAAGGCAGCTTCCCCTCCCATCCCCAGCACCTCAGGTGGGATGAATTTGGATCACAAAACTTGGATGAACATTTGATCTATGTGACACACCTGCCACACACAACCTCTTTCATAACTGTGATTTTTAACTACCAGCATACATGGTGATCCATGCAGACACTGAGAATATACGTACATGACCCCTGCATTTGCTTTTTCTCCTGGAAAAAAACATGGCAGGGCTGGGATCCATAAATCCATGGGTCCAGATGGGATGCACCCGCGGGACCTCAAGGGGGCCAGAATACTATCACCTGAGCTGAGAAAACACATCCTTCAATAACAACTTGCTTTCTTGCAGATTGCTTTCTTCTGTGTCTGCAGAATTCTGGCAGGGTAACATAGGGTGAGCATTTGGGGCTTGAAAGAGTCATGCTGCTGTCTGCTATGATTTTCTCCACTTAAGGCAAAAAAGATGATGAGGACATAATCCTTTTTCCTAGAGTTACATGGGCCATGGACAGTTCAGTAGCGACTACACAGGAGCAGCAGACACAGATTCATAGAGGACAAGTCACAGTAAAATCTTGGAGTATGCAGAGCAGCCACAGAAGATCCACTCTGAACTTTTCTTGTAAGTACAACACATCACACCTGGGCTGAACTCGACTTTTGGGACTGTCATTTGTTAGTGAAAGATTGTTATTGAAGGATGTGGTTTCTCACAGAAACGTCCATGAGTGGGTAGGACAAACCAGAGCTTCATGATCTGCTTCCTTCATAATTCCCAGAGAAATGATCACTTATGTGATGTCTCACTAACACGAAGGTCAAGGCCACAGAGAGGGACACTTATTTTGCATTTCGATACAGAATTTAGAACATTTACTCATCAGGAGGAAAATAACTGTCTGATTATATGGCAAGGGTTATGAGTTTAGTATCTTTGCTC